AGGCCCACAAGTGCTATCTCTTCTTACAGTATAATTCAGTCATATCATTTTTTAGTGTTTAGTATTATTTTGTAAGGGGGTCGTATTCCATCGCCATATTGGAGAAAATTCTAATTGTTCGATCTGCCTATCAGGTTCGGAAGATATTAAGTATATGATGTTCATGTGTGATCGAGCAGCTGTTGTTTTTTGCCACCTTTCCTATCCTCTATGTTTGGGAAGCAGCAGCTGCTTTTTTACACCTTTTCCTCTCTATGTTTGTTAAGCTTTTGTTGCTTTTTTGCCAAATCTCCCCTCTCCTATCCTCTCCTTTGTTTTGCCAATGATGAAATTGTCTAAGTCCATACATTATATGGAATATGAGCTGATGATCAAGAACTTGTGAGAAACTTGGCATCATTAGCAGCCGCCCCTATATTACCTTCTCCTCTCTTCTCTGTTATGATGCCTTGATTCTCTAAGTTCATGATCAAATGATGATTGACATGTTTCTAAGGCCTCTACTACTACTACTCATTTTTTTATATATTATTATTTTATAGGACTACTTTGGTTTATAGACCTTTTTTATTTCTTATATCTTCTTGCGTACCTAAAGCACACTTTCTTGCATCTATTAGAACAAAGCACAAAATAATGTCGCGGACACCAGACAGTGTAGCCCGATGCCCCAAGCATGATGAGCAGCCAACCTATGAGGAGCAAGAACTAGAGGACCTGCTTACTCAGGAGCAGTTCAATAACGAGTTAGAAAAGGATCTAGAAGTGATGCTTACTCAAAAGCAGTGTGACGAGGAGGAAGGGGGAGCAGAAGTAAGAGCAGGAGAGACTGCTGAAGGCGAAGAAGAAGAGGATGATGATGATGATGACTCAGAAGAGGGATATGTAAGTCCCGAAGATCCTTTCCCATGTGAAGCCACAAGGAGGCCAACGGAGGAAGATTTGGACAAGGATTTTGACCCGAAGGAGGAGGTAGGGATAAAGTCTTAGCTTGTAAATTTTGCTAAAGCTTTGGTTGTGTTACCTCTGCTAACACTTTGACTTGTCGTATATACAGGTCCCTCCTGAAACTCAGAAAAGACGATGTCGACGTCCGCGACATCTCACTAGACAGGATGGAGTAGAGGAAAGAAGAGCAGAGGCAACAGCCACAGAGATGGACATTGAGGACTCTACTCCACAACCTCAAGACACAACCACGACTACCAAGTCTAAGAGGAAACAAGGGGATAGAAAAAGCAAATCAATATCCACATAAGACATGCTATGTGATAACAGGAGGTCGGGCTAATAGGGAAGATCCTTGAGCCGAAGGAATTAAGAGGACGATTCCGTAATGCGATCGGGGCCCTAGTTAGAGATAAATTGAACCAAGCAATCCCTAACTGGAAAGAGGTACCAGAGAAGAAAAAGGATGAACTATGGGATAGGCAGCTGAAGCTCAATTTTAGATTTCCGGAGGGTAAGCACGAATTGGTAAAAAAATGCTTTCAGGATGATGGGAGAGTTATTCCGACATTGGAGGTCGGAGCTCAACAAGAAGTATATCCAAAAGGGGTTAACTCCCTTCAACGAGTTCGGCAACATAACTCCTAGCCAATGGGAGGAGCTCGTGGCTCAGAAGACTTCACCGGAGGCATTAGAGCTCAGTGCACGTAACACCGAACTGGCGAAGAGGAACAAACACCACCATCATCTAGGCCTCGGTGGCTACTATGCCAAGGAAGAGCAATTTAGGAAGATGAACAAAGAGGCCATAGCTGCTGGGAATATCGATGTGACGAATTTGAAGGTACTCTCAAGGAATTGGATATATGCGAGGAGTACAGAATCATCTAGCGGTAATCTTAAGTTTGATAAGCCGGAGACCCAAGAGGCAGTATCAAGGATACTGAAATATGCTGAAGACAAGGAGAAGGGCTCATTCAATCCTTCCAGAGAGAGGGACGAGCTTAGCCTTGGCTTGGGAAACAAGGAGCACACAGACCGCACCAGGGGGCTAGGGAAAAGGACGACCTGGAAGCAAGGATTCGAAGAGGACAGCCACATGTACAAGAAACATGGCAGAGACCGGGAGACTAATCTTGAGCTCCAAGTGAAGGCTGTCTACGGAGCCACAGATATTAATGACGTCACCGGGAGAACTGGCATTAGTTGGCAGCCCTCCGAAAGTTCCTAGCAGCCAAGGTTCCACTACAGCCACAACCCCCATCGATCGCATACGAGAACCAACTAGTTGTACCTTGGTGTTTCTCAGCGGCCGGCAGAACATTCTGATGGAGATGGCAACGGGTGTGAAACATCCTCTCGGTGGCTAACACCATAATAATAAGATACCACCGGACTACACTAGGGTCGAGGTGCATACCGTGAAGCCCAAGTTCATGTAATGGAGGATAGACTATGCAACTCCCGAGGGGCTGGTGTTACTCGGAGACGTAATGGGGCAGTTCATCCTCTGGCACAAACGGGACATTATATTGACTGCTTCTTCGCCGCATCCCCCTCTCCCAAATTTGGAATGAGTTGTTGAGGTCGGGGAGATATTTTCACCATCTCGTGACCACCACATTCCTGAGATGCCACATTCTTCTCCGCCTCCTAGCGAGCATGTGCCTAATAAGCCACAACCTACTCCAGCTCATACCGAGCAAGTGCATAATGAGATGCCATAGTCTTCTCAACAAGCATAGCCGATACATGAACAACGAGTGCCTCCTAAAGAAGGGATGCACAAGAAGATGAGGACGTGCCTGAATGGGAACTTCGAAAGAAGTATCCAATCACCATAAGACCAATTTATGTTCCGGTGAAAGACGTCTCGTCGGTGCATAAGTGGCATTCCCATGACCAGTTCAAGCCAGAGAACCAAGTTAAAAAAGTCCCATCACGGGCTTCTGAGGAGGCCATCACTAGCAAACTCCACCAAACAGGAAAGCAGTATCCAAATGTTGATGCCATCAAATGGTCAAAGGATTGTCCAAAAACATATGAAAGAGGCAAGCCCTTCCTACCAAACCGGGACATCCAGTGCCTACCACTTGGAATGAGAAGGTTCCATGATTGGTACTTGCGTGTTCTCCCAACGAGCATAGACCTCGTACAAGCATGCTTCCCCACCGGCACATTTGGAAGCCCATCCGGGAAAATTGTCTTTGACTTCAATGACATGCAGACATGCTTTCACCTCGGAGCAATGGAGGTGAATCTAATTCGCACGTGGTGCCTATAAGTCCTAGTCCTCCCGATATGATATGAATGTAATCTTTGAATTTTATTGTAACTAACCCACGCCGTGATTTGTAGAATGCAAGTGCACATTGTAAAACAAATGCCAAGTGTGAAAGCCGGGTATATAGACCCTCAAGCTATAGCACAAACAAATTTTAATTACCCTAAACAGTGGAAACTGGATGACAAAGAGTTAGCTGCTGGAAAGACTCTTCGGGAGAAAGAGCACATCCGTACGGTGAAACTAAGGGAAGAGTCCCTTAAGGTTTCGGCATACATTGCCCTGGCTTTTAAAATTCTCCAACAGCACTCTTCTATATGGCTACCATACAACTTCGCGTAAGTTCAACTCTATACTTAAAGCCTTGTTTGATATATTTTATTCGATGCAAAAGAGCTTATCTAGTTCTATGATTAAATCCATGTAGCAACCACTGGATTTGTATAGGCGTCGATGTCGGGAGGAGCATGGCATGGGTCTTTGATTCAATAGATAGGAACCCGGTGACATACAAAGACTTCATATCGATTCTCAAGACGTATACATATCGCCAATCCTCATTAGCTTATATGTTTGTATACATACTTGTAACGTTCACTTTTGGATACTAACAAGTTGTATTTGCTAAAATAATTCAAACAGGGCATTTAGGTTCTATGTCACTAAACATCACGGAAGGCATGATCCAGTAAGGAAGGAAAAACTGGCTATAAAAACACTATTTGCGGTAAGTGTAACTTACTTCTTGAGTACTAAATTACATGGCTGTCAAAAGCATTACTTAACATTTCTATATGCAAAACACACAGTGCCCCAAGCAGAAGCATGGGAGTGTACATTATGGATACTATGTATGTTCTATGATGAGTAACACCGATGCCTACAGGAGACACCCTTTAAGGGTAAGTTTGAACCTCTTCACCCGTAGTATAAAAACTTCATACATGGTATGAAATACTAAATCAAAACTTGTTCACTTGTAGTGGAAAGAAGAGAAAGAAATAAAAAGAGACCCATACAAGGATGACCAACTCTTAGAGCTCGTCGGCGACCTTTGCAACTTCATATTGGACCAGATTATACACGTCAAAGGCACCTATCATGACCGAGAGTCTGACTTAGGTAGAAATCCTTAGTACCAACACCTTCGTGAGACCGAAAGGCTAGCTTTAGGACGTTGATAACAATGTGTATGGAATTTGACATTGGTTTTACCTTGTGAATTATGTCTATTTAATGATAGATTGTATATATTCTTGTAAATTGGACTTGTAATTGTAGTTTATATAATACTTTTGTGCTTGTAGTTTATATAATACTCTTGAGCGAACGCGGTTCGGAACGTTGGTCGCGGGGCGTTCGGTGGGACATTGAGCGAACGTGGTTCGGAACGTTGATCGCTCACTCGCAACGCGAACGCGGGAATACGCAGAAACAAACAGGGCGGTTCTGGTCGAATTTGAATTGTAAATTTGAATTTTTTTTTTGCTGAAAAACATACTGTAGGGGCGGTTCTAGACTGAACCGCCCCTACAAACAGGTATTATAGAGGCGGCTGGTACTACAGCCGTCCCTACAAATCGATTTGTAGGGACGGCTGGTGTTACAAATCGATTTGTAGGGGCGGGTCTGCGAACCGCTCCTACAAATGCATGATTTGTAGAGACGGTTTGGTAGGGACGGCTGGCCAAACCGCCCCTACAAATGGTCTTAAGTTGTCCCTACAAATGATATCTGTAGCAGTGATCTTGAGTCTTTAGCAAGGACAATGGGTGCCAAGCTCCTTCTCGTTGCCTTTCTCGTCATCACCACTGCCGGCCACCCCATCTGGGCACAAGTGGTTAATGATGTGGTGGAGGTTATCAAGGGGGGACTTGATGGCTTGTCATCCACGTTCGATCAAGCAGCGGACAACCTAGCCCAAATGTCAGATATTGTGCTCGACAATATTGTGAACGAGGAGACTGGACCGACTGCGACAGCCAATGGGACAAATCCTTAGTTCAGTGCGTGCGTAGTAAGTATTAATAACTGCTTATAATAAGCTTGTTATGGAACACTCGAACTTATCCTCGCATTTGCATAAATACGGTGGTGACCTAACCACCCCCATGTGTGCACTGCATGTATCCCTATAGAATGATGAATATCTATGTATGGTGTGATATGCACTAATAAAATGGTACGCGCGCTATTCCATTGGTATCGCCTTCCTGGTCGATCGGGCATCGTTTGTACTACTTGCCAAGAGGCTCATCGAATTCACAAGAATATATACAATCCATGAGGTTTCATTTGTATACCCACCAAACCAAGGCTGTGGTTTGACAGAACATCAGCACCACTGTGACGTTAAAACTTAAATTCTCAAGCGGCAACAGTGAAAAAGATTGGAAAATTGGGGGAGGAAAAGAAACAGGTTTTAGAGCAACCTCACATTTACTGGGCAGCTGCACCATTGCAAGTATAACTCATCAACCGCTAATCGGATTTGAGTAAAACTAGTTCCATTAGAAAGATAAAAATGATGGCAACAATTTTTGTTTCATGGACATGTTAAAATTCTACATCAACTTGTCGCAGAAATAATTTGACGAATAAATCAGCTTAATACTCACGTACTTGAGCTTGTCCGATTGGTTCTGCACGAAATCTTTTGCGCTCCCAGTGCCCTCCAAAGAAAAGTCCCGGATTTTCAAATGGTTAAAGGGTCCATTCGGTTTCCTAGGATTGGTTGGACCTAGGAACCATTCTAGTTTATTAAGATTATACAAATGAGCAAATCATTCCAATTGAAAATTGTTGCAGGCACTCGTTCCTGAGGAGCCGAACGAGCCCTAATTGAATTCTTAAAGGCCTAACCTCCTTTTCCTTCACCTTTCTTCCCTTTCTCCTCTTTGCTCCTTTTCCTTGCTGCTTCTCCCCTGCCCCCCCCTACCGCGCTTACTCTGGTAGATGAGAAATCCCTGCTGCAGGACCAGTAGTATATTGTTAGAAATATGTCGAATATTTATTTGTACTAATGGGGATACAATGGACTTGTATTGTAATTAGCAGTATAGGGTTAGGTGAGCTAGGTGTTGGCTCTTGTAACCCGGCCCCTCTGTAAAAGGAGGAGGGGGCTGCAGCTGTAACCCAACTCAGTCACGAGAGCGAGAAGCAACATAGAGTGACAGGCTCGCGGGGGGTGCCGACAGTTTTGGCCGGCGCCCCGGGCAGCCGGTGTCACGGTTTCGGGGCGGAGCGCCCGTAAGCATGCCCCGAGGACGTAGGCTTCAGCCGAACCTCGTTACCAAACATCGAGTGTCCTGTGTGGTGTGTACGATCTCTCGTGAGCATCTCGCCTATGTAGATGCAAACAATCGCCTCCATATTAGGCGTCGGTAACACAACATAGATGCACTACACCAGCGGACAATAACGAAGCAAGGAGCAGAACCTTAGTCAACCAGTGCCATGGTTACATGAAAACAACCCAGGAGAAAACAGCAGGTGATAAACGAGTACAAAGGTACAGCCGTACAGGCAGCAAGACTAGCAATGGATGCTGATACCTAACAGCAGAACTTTTTTGGTGGTGAAGGCTGCACAGGTCAGAACAAATGGCCACAAAATAGCAATTTTTAGACCCAGAGCAAGTTTGTAGTCATAATTAAGTCATGTAATTCTTTTGCAAGATACAGGCACCTGCATTTTGGAGGATTCAAACTCGAGAGCTAGCTCCACCCTCAGACGAGCTTTTTCTTGGGCCTATTTCGATACGATTAAAAATGGATTAGCTAGCTCACCACGGCAATCCTGCCAAATAGTTCGCGGCGCATGCGATTGTTTTCACCGCTGACGGTACTACATCGCAGAGAAATTCTGATGCCGCACCAGGCAGTCACGATACCCGTATATATAGGTTGTTTTCAAATCAAACTTTCCTATTTCAAAATTTGAGCAATGAAAACTAACATTTGTGGCCTCTAAACAATCACAAATACAAATAAAAAGTGGCCAGCTACAAAGTTATATATCATGATAAGAGTTACAACTTTAGTATATACTACAACATCCTACATCGTTTGAAACAATCAAACACTTGAAATTTCAAAATCTAAGAACTTAAAACAAATAATTAGGATATAAACTACATGAAAATGTTGTCAACTACTCTCTCCATTCAAAACTGTAAGTCGCTTTGGTTTATCTATGTACATAGTTTTTGTTATATATCTATACATAGCATATGTCTAGATACATAGCAAAAGCTATGTAAGTAGAAAAGTCAAAACGACTTATAATTTTGAATGGAGGGAGCACAAAACTCCAGATAGTTATAGAGTTACATCTTTAGTATACACCGTGTAATTATCTATCCAACATCATTTGAAAGAATCAAACACTTGAATTTTTAAACCTAAGAATTTTAATGAATAATCCGGCTACAAACGGTCAAAAAAAAAGGTCATCAACTACAAAATTATAGATCGTGTTATTTGTTTTCATTCAACTTTATTTCTATATGGTATGAACTTTATGTGTGACGACAATTGTCAAGGCCTACCTGTAGAAGCAGTCCTATTTACTCCAGTGGCTTTTCTGAGAGGCCCATAAATGAAAGATGGCCATCTTCGTTAGACCCTTGATGTCCAAAAGATAAGTTATTACTAGAATTTAGTCAGAGCTGGCGTCACATGCATGGTACAGCTTGATGTCCAAAAGATCGTCGTCATCGAGTTAAAAATCGCACACACACGCAGACAGCACGTGGAAGAAAAAGATTACTACACCACGAATCACGTACTCCAGGACATATATACGGAGTTTACGGACGTACGGCGATTCAAGTACGTTGATTACGCGCTGTACTTATTCCCACTTCTGTTTGCGTATGTTTCAGTATGATGACTAAATGCACGCATATAGTGCACCAATTTAGTGTACTAATAATTGGATGTTTCGACGGTGGCGGCCCACAGAGTATTCAATGGTATCCACTAAATACCTAATATTTTCTATGATCAATGGTATTTAAGGGTATAACGAATTATATATGTTAAAAAATAGAGTTGAATCAATCTATTTCTTTATCTTTAGAAATTTTGAATACACATTTTCCAAATCTTGGGTTTGCCTCTGTTTCCATGGAAATTGTGTATTTGTAGTAGTGAATCCAAGTGATTTAGGTGCTCGAATACTAGTAAACTGATCAACATATTCAGTTTGCAGGTAGATTATCTTCACAAACCAGATGGCTGAAAGTCCTATGTTTGATTTTGGTAATTGAGACAACCAATAGACTAACCTTTTGCTGCGTGCAGTGCCGACCCTGAGGGAGGGGAAGGGCAAAAGGGGCAGCCACTCCAGGCCCCCACTCCACTAGGCCCCCTTCAATATATGTATGTACTTTTAGGGTTTGTTTGGCACAGCTTCATTAACTGTTGTGAACTGTTTTTTTTTTGCTAAACACCCTTTTTTAAAACAACTTCATGGGTGAAGCTGTTTTTCTTTTCCTCTCACAAAGAGATGAGTTGGGATTAAGTTGAAAAAAGTAGCTCATCTCAGCTTCATCTGACATAGGTGGGCCCCATCGAGTCCTTTTCTCATGTTTACTCGTCATCAGGTCCCGTGCACACGAGCTCATCAGCCGCGGAGTGCGGCCGCCAGAGCGCGGCTGCTATAGCTGCCAGGGCCCACGCAGACATGCAGCCCGATCGGCCTGGGGCTGGCTGGGCTGGCTAGCCAGCCCCCTCACATAGATACTATTCACATGAACCAGCAAACAGCACTTCTCTCTCATAAACGAACCAACAACGATACGAACCAGCCAACCGAACAGGCTGATGGTCGCTGGGCCCGGCCGTTGGGGCCCACATGGGCACGGTGCCAGGGCACACTGCACACGTAGCTTCGCTGGTGAAGGAATCATCCACAACTCAGCTTCGCCGGACGCGGGCACCGCCATACCGCCGGATGTGGACGCCACCACACGCAAGTACCGCCGTACCACCTGACGCAGGCACCACCGGACGCGAGGGCGGGCATCGGGGGTAGGTACGAGGGGCCGTCGGGGCGCCATCGGAGCCACGGCCTGCCCGTGGCGGTGCCTGCCCGGAGCGTAGTCGCCGGGATGCTGCCTGCCGGGGCCGCGCGTGGCCGCTGGGGGCGTGGCCGGCCGTGGGCGCTGCCTGCCGAGATGTGGCCCGCCGGAGGTGCAGCCTATCAAGACGAGGACCGTTGGGGACATTGGAATGCGGCTGCCGGGGTGCCGAGGGTGTGGCCACCAGCCATTGGTAAGAAAAGAAACCGTGTGAAGGAGATGACCGAAGAATAAAGAAGAAAATAAAAAACTGAGGGCATTAGGGTCATTTTTTTTTTTTTTTTTTTGTCTAGTTTTCGTTTATATGAAGCTGTTTTGTTAAATAGATTTACAAAAATCAGCTCTAGCTTCATCATAAATGCTGTTTGTAAAGGTAAAACATAAAAAAACAGCTTGACCAGTGAAACGGACCTTAGTATTGGAATCCCGATTAGTATTAGTACTATATTACTATTTGGCCCAAAAGGTAAATACGCTAGAACCCAAAAGCCAAACACGTTGGAGCCCAAAAGGCAAACACGCTACACACTACACGTCTTCGATCAGCAGTACACAGCGACGGTTCAGATTTGATTCAACACAAGGAGGTGGCGGCCGCATAGTTCTGTCTCGACGATTCTACACCGCCATTGCCGGACATAAGAACCCACTACTTTTTTTATTCACAAAATGAGCTATAAGTGTTTAACTCAACATGGTTAAGATAGCACTACAAAGAGGTGTGAAAAAGTTTGTCCTTTAATTAAATTGAGTTAAATATCTTTGGCAAGTGTTCTAGATTGAATTAAATTTAGAAAAATGATCCTCACTTCATTGATTGATATTGATAATTTTAGCCTATCTAAAATAGAACTTTTGTGGTCACCAATGACAAAGAGAAGTAATTCACAAAGATAGGAGGAGAGAAACAAAGGTAA